TGGGGAAGTGGGATGAGCTCGACTTTTCTCGACAGCAGCTAAGTCAAGGAAAACGAAGAGGAGGGGAATGGGGCGAGGAGGGTAAGGAGGAGGCAGATGATGATGATGAGGAGGGTAGTCCTCAGGCCTCACCCTGTCCTTGTGTCTCTGACCGTCTCCTCAGTCGTCAGCATCTGATTAGGACAGCAGAGCCGTTCATCTTCAGGTAAGTCCAGTTTTCTTCAGGCTTCATGGAGACGTTAGATATAAAAGACATTAGAAACATTTAAAATGTTAGAGACGTTAGAAACTAAAGACGTTAAAGATGTTGGAGACATCAGAGACGTCAGCGCTGGGTGTCTCTGTCCTCTTGTGAAGACGGAGCAGCAGTAGGATGGAGGGACGGTTCCTGTCCACCAATCACAGCCAGATCACCTGGATGACATCATCACTACCTGCTGTAGTAACTAGCAGCTAGCTAACTGGTTAGCATGCTGGTTAGGTATCAGACTGGTTCTGGTTGTTGCCATGGCAACAATGGTCCAGCTCTCCCAGCAGCAGCTGACTGGTTTAACTGGAACAAGCTGCTCCTGTGTGGGACAGGCGGCTGTTTGTGTCTGCGTGGCGGTTGTCATGGCAACCTGTTTATTAGATGAGCGCTGGTATGGAGGCAGCTGACCGCACTGTGTGTCTGCTGGGGGACAGTCATGTCCACATGTCTGCAGGGACAAACATTTACTCCCTAGTGAAAGGTCAGAGGTCAGACTGACTGATTTGGAGGGAAGTCCGTCGTCATGGCGATGGTAATGAGATTATTACAGAGGAATCTGCAGCAGACTCATCAGATTTATGTCCTGGAGAGTCTCAGCCGTCCACAGAGATGGAAATAATGTGTCAGATTTAAAATGAATCTAATTATTTATCTTAAATGATTAAATTTAATCATTTAAGATGGCAGAAACATGTTTCTGCTTTCTGCAGAGATCCATCCATCCGTCCAGATGAGTGATCATCCTCCTCCGTATCGTCCGTTCTTCCCAGACGATCCGTCTCCCTCCATGTTTCCTCCAGGTTTGTTTCTGTTTTTATCACAATGCCAGAAATCATTTAGTCAATTTTAAAATTTAGTGAACTGTTATTTACCTTTTATTCCTGAGATGCCACAACTTCATTACTATAATATTTCTGTCATTATTGTAATTTCTCATTCTAAACAAATGAGAAATTAGTTTAGATTTATCACATGATTTTTACATTTCTGACTTTATTTATCTGTCATCTTTATGAGACAATCTCATTTATCTCTAAAGGTTTGTTTTTGTTTTTTTCTGCTTCAGTTTTTTTAAAATTTATTTTTGTCATTTTCTCTCAGCTTTTTATTCCCCGCCCACCGCCTTCCCCGGCTCCGCCTATCAGGTACCCAGAATGCACTGCGGCAGCTTCCTGTCAGACGTCATGTGACTGTTTCACCTGCTGCTGATGTGACGTGATGAGTTCAGAATAAACTACAGGAATTTTATTTATTATATCAACAGCCAGTTAATAACCATCTGTTTGCCAAAAAGTGTTAATATCTGAGGAGATCAACTGATCTTACTTTACAGAAATACTCATAAGTTTTAATTTAACGTTTATTATCCAAGTAAAAACTCATTCAGATTAAAAAAGTAATTTACTACGAACAGCAGAACAAGATGAAAAGAAAAGAACTGACCAGCAGGGGGCGCCATTCAGGCCAGGCTGAGTTGGGTTGGTTCTTTATTAATCCAGAGGAAATTATGAAACAATGTGTTGCTCTCATACATGAACATCCATAAAAACTAGATTAAAAACATTAGAAACAAATTTAAAAATATAAAAACTACAACAAAGACAATAGAAACAATCTATCAGCTTGTTGTTCACATTATGACCAGCAGACGGAGCCAAAAACTTCTTGTGCGTGTGTGTGTGTGTGTGTGTGTGTGTGTGTGTGTGTGTGTGTGTGTGTGTGTGTGTGTGTGTGTGTGTGTGTGTGTGTGTGTGTGTTCAGCACCTCTTCTTCCTGTGAAGCGCTTTGAGACGTTTTAGCCATAAAAGTTGCTTAATAAATAAAAGTTACTGACTGGTTTAGTTCTGATCCGGTTCTGGACCAGAACAGACCTGAAGCAGATTATTGAGTTAAATTAGGAGATTAAAGTTTCACATCTGAATTTCCAACAACCCCCCAACCTCCTCTCCATTCTCCCAGACTTTCCCTCAGACCATCGTCCAACCAGGACCCGCTGCACAGGAGGGGGCCCCTGGTTACTATGGCAACAAACACCAGGCCTCCCATCCAGCGAAGCCTACAGGTAACTTCCTTACCTGCAGACTGTAGTCTGATTGGTCACAGACCAACGGTAGACTTATGATGTCATCGACAGTTCTGCTGATGGATCCACGGACCCATCAGCAGCCGGGCGGCATCGGGTCGTACCTGGCCGCATGTTGTGCTGCACTGTGCTGCTGCTGCCTGTGGGACCTGCTGCACCGCTGACCATCATCACCTTCATCATCATCCTCAGCAGTGACCATGTGACCGTCAGGTCTGCTGACACCAGGAATATCTGACATGTTTGGGTTTAAAACGATGTTATTCTCTCTAAAGGTTCAGAGGAAAATCCCGCTGTCTGATTGGACGGCGAGTAGTAACAAACATGGAAGATTATGACATCATGTAAACGCATTTTCTAAACACTCTACTGGTGTCTCTTTGATTATTGATCTTATTGAATATCAGATTGGTCACAGCTGATCTATAAAGTGATTGAAAGGTAACTGGATTGTAACATTTTGACAGTTTTTCTCAGTTTTCTTTTTTTTCTAAAGAAAACATGTTTTCTCTTATGCAGCTGCAGTTTCATTTATTCAATTCCAGTTTATTGTACCAAACGTCTCAGCAACACGGCAGGTCAAAGTGTTTTACATGATTAAAACATGAGACAATAAACTTTATGATTAAGAACATAGAATGAACAAGCACCCAGTACAACATTGTATCAGTGCCATCATAAAACCTAACCATCAATCATTTCTTTCATCTTCATTATTGCTGTAATCACCTGAATCAGATGAGCTGTTGCTGAGCAGAAAACCTTGCTGACGAGGAGGAACCTGACATCTCACTCAGTTTAGTTCAGTTTAGAGGTTTCTATCCAATGCGTTCCCAGCAGAGGAACATTGTCCTGGTCTTCCTCTGGGTCCCCTCCTGGTGGGACCTGAACACCTCACCATCCGAACCACCAAGTCACTCTAGAAAATCACATGTTCAGTAAGCAGTGATGATTATATAGACAAGCTGAATGAAACTTGCATCACACTGGAAACGAAGAATTCTTGGAAAAGTTTAAAAGCATCAGTGAATAAATACAGATAATTTGATTTAGTGAATTATTTCTGTAACTATTATATTAATATATCTATTATTTCTGTGTTTCTCTAACCCTAACCTTCAGATGAGTTGATAGCGTCCATTTTCACTGAATTCTGCAGAATTTCTTCTTTAATGCAGTCATCATAGGAGCCTCTACAGGACTTGCCATGGTTCCTAGAACTGCTCCAGTTGCAATTTCTCAATTTTTCTCAACCATCTTGTTGATCTTTTTGAGAAGCTCTCTGACCTGAGTTGACTTTTTAGCTCTATTGTTGAACACATGGTATCTTTTACTACATTGATCAATAAACTCCTTCAGGGTCTCGTTTCCATCGATTATTGTTTCAATGGAGACATCTTTCTCAACCAGATCGTCTCCATGAGTGAATAATACCAGAATGTAATCTCCTGCGTCCTCTCCAAAAATCTCCTGGATGATTTTCACCATTTTTTGTGATGGTATGGTGACGAAACAGAAAATTACAGGTGGAGTTTAAAATGTTAGTTTTATATTTACAGAATCTCTTGTTAAAGTCCCAACCCAAATCTAAAGTAATTCTGCGTTGTGCATCTCGTCTGCAACTTTTCTGCTTCCAAGCAATTCCTGTATAGCAGAACTGCACCAAGACTGTCCTGTTGTGGATTAACTAACATTTATAACTCCAACTCCCATTAGTTTTTTAACAGTTTTTTAAATTAAACCCTATATCTTCTGGTGACTTTCTTCTTATCAGAGCTGGATTTAATAAAGTTTCCTTATTTTCATGCTGTACCTTCAGCTTCACCAACTGCAAGCTTTTTCATCTTGTTACTGTGAATATTTTCATTCTCCAACTGTGAGTTTTCATGTCTCAGATAAATAACTCTCAGCATTTTCCTTTAACAGCTGCTCCTCATTCCCCTGATTCGGCACAGCTGAACACAACTTCACTCTCCATGTCCAGACTGATTTTTACTGTTCTTACATTGTTCACAGTCATCTAAATTGTGTCTTGCACCACTTTCTTGAACAAACAGGTTGGTGGTGTATTTGAAGATGATTTAATGCAATAAAGTGTGAAACTAAAATGACAGAAAACACTGAAAAATACTCAGTATGCAAAATGTATTAAGGCCGAATAAACATTACTTTTCATAGATATGGTGGATTAAATGGTTAATTTAAACTTGGAATTATCTGTACATAATTCTGTGTCAAAGTTTAGACGTGTTGTTGGCCAAGATAATTTGGTATTTGGCTCCATCATGTGGCCAAATACATTTTAGAGCGATATAAATTACCTTATATGGATAAGGTGGCTTCATTGGTTCATTTAGATTTGGAGTTACCCATAGATGAATTCAGACCAGGTTTAACTGAACTAAAACTTCATTGTGAATGTGTGGTGGTGAGCCACAATTAATTACCTTTAGAGGAAACTGTTAAAAGTTGATATAAATTGGTTTAAACACACATTGAGCTCAAATTGAACAGTTTGTTGAATTTTCTAAATCTTGCTGACTCAGATGAATGTGGCTTCAGCATGGGGGTGTGCTGTGGTGGCGCAGCAGTTAAGCACAACCCACATATGGAGGCCCTAGACTTCAACGTGGCCATCACAGGCTCGATTCCTGACCTGGCAATCCTTGCTGCATGTCCTCCCCCTCTCTCATCTCCCACCTTCTTGTCAATTAACTATCAAATAAAGGCCACTAGAGCCTTTATTTTTTATAAAGGC